ACTCTTTCCATACATAATTTAGGGGAGAAAGAAAAGCATAGCCTCTGAAGTCAGACAAAAGTTAATCTAGTTTTATTTTTTCTCATTTTAATAGACCTTTATTTTTTCACATAGATTTTAGGGTTTTAAGTTTCAGATCCAATTTTAAAGAAACTTAATTGTGATTATGTTTGTCTTAGTTTGAGCTGCTATGACAAATTATCATAGCTAGATGGCTGGAACAACTAACATTTATTTTTCATAGTTTTAGAGCCTAGAAATCTAAGATCAGGGTATTTGCAGGTTCCTAGTAGGTACCCCCTTTCTGGTTTGAGAGAAGAGCAATTTTATTTATGTGCTGTTACATATGGACAGAGTGCTAACTAGCTGTCTGACCTCTTTTTATAAGGATACTACTCCCATTCATGAGGGCTCTATCCTCATGATCTAATTAGCTCCCAAAGGCCTTATTTCCAAGTATCATCACATTGGGATTAGGATTTTAACATATGAATGGGGAGGACACAAACATTCAGTTTATTGCATTCTACCCCTGCCTGACTCCAAATTCACAACCTTCTCATAGGTAAAATAAATTAATTCCACCCCAACAGTGCACATATTCTTAACTAATTCCAGCATCAACTCTAAAGTCCAAAGTCACATCTGAATCAGATATGGGTAAGATTTAAGGTATAGGGACCAGCAAGTGGCATAGTGGTTAAGGTGCTGTATTCTCACATGGCTGATCATGGATCAAGTTCTGGAATCAGTGACTTGAAAATCACGCCAGGCACGTGAATGTGTATACCTCAAATCCCAAGAGCAGAATGGAGGAAAAAGTATTACAGTGTCATTCCCCGGGGCGGGGGGGGGGGGGGATTTCTCGCTTTCCCTCTCTCTGCCTCTCACTGGAGAGTGCATTTATTCTGTGACAAAAACCTGCAAAAGGGAAAAAATATTTGAGGTACAGTTCAACCTGATGCAAAAATGCCTCTCTGACTATGAACCTGTGAAATCAAACAAGTTATTTGTTTCTAAGATACAGAGATGGTGCAGGCATTGGAGAGATACTCCCATTACAAAAGGAAGAAATAGGAAAGAATGAAGTGAAGTCAGTCCAAAACCTAGAAATGCAAGGCCCATGACACTTCAAGGTTTAACCATAATAATTTTGCCTTGACGTTCAGCCCTCCAGACCCACTGGGGTAATATTCCCTCTTATATGGCTCTGTCAAGTGGGGATAAGGCCCTATTAACTCTAGGGTGACCCTGCCTCCATGAATCTGCTGGGTATTAGTCTCTCCCTTTAAAACTGAGGTGGAGGCCAGCCCCTGCACATTAAGTCTGTGGTGTGAGTGGCAGCCCTGATGATCTCTGAATTGCCTTTGGGATCCTTTTTCCCTTGTCTTGAGTAGCCCATGTTTACTGCCAAATAGCTCTATGGGTCAGTATTATGGGGTATAAGAAGTCTTTCTTAATTTTGTCCTATTTTCTCTGTTTCTTTTAGTCTCAGCTGGCAATGTTTCTGCTGTGTAATCTATTTCTGTTCTTGGATTCTGTTGAAATGGCTAATTAAGTTCATGGTTTACACTCACATGACTCTCTTTATAATGTAGTCGATCCCAAACCCTTAAAGTTCTCTTCCAAACATGCTTTGTTATTTATTGTAATATGGTAGGCTAAGAATTTTCCATCTCTTTAAGTTGGTCATACACCACGACCAAAGTAGACATATCTTTGAGATATAAGAGTGGTTGAACTATGAAAATCCCAAATGGCAGTTTCTTTTACATAAATAGAAAAAAAAAATCCATGGGACCAGTAGTTAGCGTAATGGCTATGTCGCTGGATTCCCATGTAGTCCACCGTGGTTCGTGTCCTGGACCCGGTGGCTTAAAACTCATGACGGGTGCATGTGCATGCGTGCCCAAGATCCCAAGAGGAGAATGGAGGAGAAGGAATTGTGGCATGGCCATCCCCCCTAGGGGGTGATTTCTTGCTTTCTGTCTCTCTTTCTCTGTCTGTCTGGCGAGTGCACATGCCCTATAGCAAAAACCTCTCCAAAAAATAAGAAAAAAAAGTCCAAAATTCATATAGAATCATAAAAGGTTCACATAGCCAAGTCCATCTTGAATAAGAAAAACAAAGCTGGAGGCAACACACTTTGTAATTTCAAAATATCTTACAGAAGAACTAAAGCTTCATTCTGTACCAGAATAAAGAAGGACACCTAGGACAATGGAATGGATGAGAGAACCTAGAAATAAAGCCACACGTATGGTCAACTGTTCTTCAACAAGGGTGTCAAGAATACATAATGGAGAAAGAATTTTTTTTTCAACAAACAGTTATGGAAAACTGAATATTTACATGCAAAAATCAAATTGGATTTTTATTTTATGCCATGTGCAAAAAACAAATGCAAAATTAATTAAACACTTAAACATAAGACCTGAACTTGTAAAATTACTAGGGAAAAATAAAACAAACAAACAAACAAAAAACCAGCATGGGGAAAGGCTTCAAGACATTGATGTTGGCAATGATTTTTTTTTTTGAGGGGGGAAGGATATGGCACCAAAAGTGCATGCAACAAAAGCAGAAATGTATTAAGTGGGGTTATATCAAACTAAAAAGCTTTTGCATAATGAAGATAATAATTGACAACATGATAAGGCAACCTATGGAAAGGAAGAAAATATTTGCAAACCGTACAACTAATAAGGGGTCAATATTCAAAATAAATAGGGAACTCCTACAACTCAATAGGAGTTATTATAACAATAACAATAACAATAACAATAATAATAATAATAATAATTAGAAGATTTAAAATATAGGCTAAGGACATTGATTAGACAGTTCTCAAAGAAGACATGTAGGGCCAGCCAGTGGTATGGTGGCTTAGGACAACTGGATTCCAAATGGCCAACTGTGTGGCTTGAATCTTGGACCTACAGGCTTGAAAAACACACTGGGTACATGTGTGTACATGCCCAAAAGCCCAACAAGAGAAGAGAGGACAAAGAACTGTGGTGTTTCTTTCCTCCCCCAAGGGTTGCTTTTGCTCGTTCTCTGTCTCCAGTGAGCACATACACTCTACAGCAAAACTTTCAAAGTAAAAGACATAGCTAATACATATATGAAACGATGCTCAGTGCCACTAATCATCAGGGAACTGTAAATCAAAATCACAATGAGATATCTGTCAGGATGCCTGGTATCAAAAAAAATAAACACAAGACAGATGTTTGCAAAGATGTGGAGAAATTGGAACCCTTGTACGCTGTTGGTGAAAATGTAGAAATGATACAGTTGCTATGGAAATCAGTATGACATTCCTCAAAAAAATGAAAACTAGAACTACCATATGATTTGACAGTCTCACATTTGGGTACATATCCAAAATAGTTAAATCCAATATCTTACAGAGTTATTATCACTCCCATGTTCCTTGTAACATTATTCACAATAGCCAAGATGTAGAAACAACCTACTTGTCTACTGAAGGATGAATGGATAAAGAAAATGTGATATATACATACACTGCAATATTATTTAGCCTTAAAAAAAGAAGTAAATTCTGCAATATTTGATAATGTGGATGAACTTTGAGGATGTTCTGCTAAGGGAAGTAAGCCAGCAATAGAAAACAAATACTGCTTGATTCTACATACATAGAATCAAAGAGTGGAATGGTGGTTTGCCAGTGCCTGGGGAAACAGGGACATTGGGAGTTGCTAATCAACAGACATAAAACTTCAGGTAAGCAAGATGAGTAAGTTCTAGAGAATTGCTACACAACATTGTACTGATAGTTAACAATACTATATCATATACTAAGAAATTTGTTAAGATGATTGTTCTCAAGTTCAATTTCTTACCATAATAAAATACAATTTAAGAAGGCCCTTGCAAGTCTCTCCTTAGTCATATCCCTCTGTTTCCTTCCATCATTAATCATTTTCTAGTTTTTCTTTATAGATTTTCCATCTATGCATGTATATGTGAATAATATAGTTTAGTTTTGTCTATTTTAGAATTATATATAGTCTTAACATTCTGTTTATTTTTAAAAAGAGTTATTTAACTTCATTTATTTTATTTATTTATTTTAATTTGACCAGAGAGGGGCAGAGTGTGAGAAAGAGAGACAGAAAGTGAAAAAGCAAGTCACCAGGTCCAGGACTTGAACTGTAGTCGGCCACGTGGGAGTTCAATGCCCCCAACCACCATGGCCACCTGCCGGCCCCTATTTATTTATTATTTATTTATTTTACATTCAATCACTGTATGTCATTACAGCATATCAAATGAATTTTCCCATCCTGAATACACTGTGTATTGGTTCACTCAAAGTTATTACCATACATACATATTATCATCAACAGATAATTTTCCATTTTTGTGTCTCTTAAATGTTTTGCTTCTTTTTTATTTTCCTTTCAATTCTCTCCCTCTCACACTCTCTCATTTCCCACCCTCCTCCTACACTGTCTCTAGTCTCCACAGTTGTTCTCCATGCCTTTGTACCTTCCAATCTTTCAGTTCTGTTTTAGAGTGCAGACATTTGGTATGTATTGAGTGGGGACATATAATACCTCTTCATAGTCTGGCTTGCTGAGATTAGCAGTAAATCTTCCACATTCATTCACTTTCTATCAAATGCCAGGGTCTCTCTTTCTTTTTTTTAATGGATGAGTAAGTAAGATTCTGTATGGTGTTTGTGCCACACATTTTCAATCCATTTATCTGTCTATGGACATTTGGAATGGTTCCATGTCTTAGCATTTGTGAATAATGCCACAATAAACATGGATATGCAAGTATTTTACCAACAAAGTGCATTCCTATCTTTTAGGTAGATACCCAGGAATGGAATTGCTGGATTGTATGGTAGTACTATTTGTAGGTTTTTAGGGAATCTCCATATTGTTCTCCACAGTGGCTGTACTAATGTACATTCCTACTAGCAGTGTAGGAGAGCTCCCTTATTCTCCATAGCCTCACCAGCACTTATCATTTTTTATTATTTTAATCTTAGCCATTTTCACTAGGGTTAGGTGGTATCTCACTGTGGTTTTAATTTGCATCTTCTTTATGATAAGGGATGTTAAACATTTTTTCATATGCTTTTTGGCTGTTTGTATGTCTTCCTTAGAGAGTTGTCTGTTCAGCCCATTTGCCCATCTTTTAACTGGGTTAATCTTTTTTTTTTTTCAGCTAAGCTGTTTGAGTTCTCTGTATTTTCTGGTTATCAGTCTCTTATCTGAGGCATAGCTTGCAAATTCATTTTGAGTTGATTTTTGTTAGTGGTGAGAGATAGGGGTCCAGTTTGATCTTTCTGCACATGGATACCCGGTTTTTTTTTCAGCACCATTTACTAAAGAGATTTTCTTTTCCCCACTGGAGCCCTTCATCAGGGAGTGAGATGCCTCCTACTCCACTCTTCTTGCACAGTATTGCTTTAGTAATACAGGGTGTTTTATGATTCCAGACAGATTCTGGATTGTTTTATCTAAATCTCTGAAGAATGTCTCTGGTAATTTGATTGGGATTGCATTAAATATGTAGATTGATTTGGGTAGAATTTACATTTTGATTGTATTAATTTTTCCAATCCAGGAACATGGGATATCTTTCTACTTTCTTGTGTCATTTTCAATTTCTTTTTAAAGTTTTTTATAGTTTTCCTTTTAGAGGTCTTTGACTTCTTTGGTTAGGTTTATTCCTAGGTATCTTTTACTTTTTCTGGTTATCGTAAATGGGATTGTTTTCTTCACTTATACCTCAGTCTGATCATTGTTTATGTAGAGAAATGTTATAGGTTTTTGTAGATTCAACTATGTTTATGTATATTACTGTAGTCTATTCATTTTTATCTTATGCAATAGTCCATTGCATGTCAGTTTTATTGATAGAGTTCTCTTGTATTGTTGATTATCTGTGTTGTTTCTAGATTTTCATTGTTATAAATAATGCTACCATAAACTTTCTTATACGTGTCTCCTGGTGTATGTGAACAAGAGATCTCATAGGAATGCAGGGTGAATACTTGGAAATGAAATTACTGTATCATAGGGTGTTTGTTCCCTTTTACTAGTAACATCAAATTATTTTCCAAAATGTTTGTGCTATTGTTTGCTTTTACCAGGAAAGAATGAGAATTACCCTTGCTCCATGTCTTTGCCAATGATAGTATTTGTATGAATAAAATTTTGCTAGTGAGTTAGTTATTAAATAGAATATCACTGTAATTTTAGGACCAGCAGTTGGTGTAATAGCTATGTTGCTGGACTGCCATTTAGTCACTTGTGGTTTGAGTCCTGGACCCGGTGGCTTAAACTCATGCCAGGTGCATGTGTGTGCGTGCCCAAGATCCCGAGAGGAGAATGGAAGAATGAAGGAGATGGGATTGCAGCATGGCCATACCCCCCGGGGGGTGATTTTTCACTTTCTGTCTCTCTCTGTCTTTCTGGTGAGTGCACACGCCCTATAGCAAAAACCTCTCAAAAAAATAAATAAAAGGATATCACTGTAATTTTAATTTGAATGATTTGAGAATCTTTTAATAGTCTGTATCTTGAACCTTCACAGGCTTTCTTTTCGGTGATTTCTGAAACTGGTCAAGATCACCAATTCCAGTATTTAATTCTTAGGTCTCATTTTGATCTCTTGATTGCATCTGATATAGCTGATCATTCCATTCTTAAAAATACCTGTTTCACTTGGCTTCCAGAACACTACCTTCTATTGGTATGTCTGCCTTTCTATCCTTTCCTTTTCAGTCGTCTTTATTTGTTCTTCCTCTTTTACCTGATGTCATACATTGAAATCCTAACCCCCTGGACCTTATAGTGTATTCATATTTGGAAATAATATTGTTGCAGATTAGGGGGTCAACAAGTGGCATGGTGGTTAAGGTGTTGGACTCCCACATGGCTGACCAACGTTTGAGTCCTGGACCTGGTGACTTGCTTTCTCACTTTCTTTCTCTGTCTGGTCAAAATTTAAAAAGACTAATAATAATAAATAAACTTAAATAAATAATTCTTTTTTAAAAAAAGATTGTTGCAGATTAATTAAGATGAGGTTACACTGAAATAGACTGGGCCCCTAATTCAATATGACTGAAGTCTTTGTAAGATGATGGCCATGTAAAAATGAGCACACACCTCTATTTGCTACCCTTGTTATTTTACTTGCTTGTTTCCTTTCCTATGTCTCTTACTACACTGCAAACTCCTAGAGAGCAGCAGTTAACTCCCACACTATTACATTGCTGATACTTAGCCCCTGGCCTGGCATATTAGTTTATTAACTCAACAAATATTTGTTGAACACCCTTATCTATTATTAGGTTTACAGCAGAGCCAAGAGAGACCAGTTTGCTGCCCTTAATGGCCTTACTTTCTAGTACAATAATCAAGCAGTAAACAGAAATGAATGAATCAGTTAAGATGGTGATAAATATTAGCGAGGTGAGAGAGGAAGCCATGGAAAGAGCTAAGGAGAAATGTTCTAGGCAGGGGAAAAATCAAATACAAAGGCTCTAAGGGGGAAGGTACTTGGAAGGGGAGGCACTGACTGAATGAATAGCTGGAGAGAAAACTAAGAAGCAGAGAAGTGACTTATCCACCACGATCGACAAGTAATGAACTAGATCACGTGAGTCCAGTTGGGCACTCTTTCTATTGAACCATATTGCCTCAATATTTAGGAAAAAACAGTATTTTTTAAATTTTTTTTGAGAGATTTTCACTATAGGGCGTGTGTGTTCGCCAGACAGACAGAGAGAGACATAGAGACAGAAAATGAGAAATCACCCCCCGAGGGGATGGTCATGCCGCAATCCCTTCTTCTCCATTCTCCTCTCGGGATCTTGGGCACGCACACACACGGGCCTGGCGTGAGTTTTAAGCCACCGGGTCCGGGACAGGAACCACGGTCGACTACGTGGGAGTCCAGCGACATAGCCATTATGCTAACTGCTGGTTCCCAGGAAAAAACAGTCTTAACAAATGCATGTGTAACTACTGAAAATGGGTCAAAAAGTGAAACTCATTAGAGTGTAGATTTTTTTCAAAGAAAATTGATGAACATTTGAAGAAACAGTATAAATGTTAAAGAAACTAAGCAAGTTGTGTAAGCTGCTACTCTTGAATTCTGACTTAAGTTCATAATGGAGTTTTAGAGAATGTAAGATAAAGCAGAAAAATATTATTAACCATTATTCCTTACCTAATGTGTGGCAGACACGGTGTTGGGTGTCTGGGACATGATTCCTGCACTCGGGGCTTACATTGTTCATGGGACTGATTATCTAAACAGTTTGAGAATTTTAAAGTAATAAAACTTTAATTCAATGGGAATTCACTTCCTATTAAACCTATATGAATATGTTAGTAAAAATTCATTTTATCTAGTACAAGTGTTAAGAAAATAATTAGTCTTCAATAACAGGTGATGACATATGAAAAATAACTTTGGATTTTTGGTCCTGTCAAAAAATTGTTCTTGGTCCTTATAAAAGTTATCTTTTGGGTCAGTAGGTGGTGTGGTGGCTAAGATGCTGGATCCCACATGGCTGACGCTGTGGTTCGAGTTCCGGTCTCAGTGACTAGAAAAGCACCATGGGCGCATGTACCCATGTGCCCCAAATCCCAAGGGGATAATAGAGGAGAAGGGATTGCTGTGGGGCCATCCCTCCTCCATGGGGTGATTTCTCACTTTTCCTCTCTCTGTCTCTGTTTCTCTCCAGCAAGCTCATGTGACCTATGGCAAAAATCTAAATAATAATAATAAAATAAAAGTTACCTTTAAAATATTTCAAGTGTTTGTTCTTTAATTCTTTTTTTTTTGCATTTATCAGATAATTGACATAGGCGAGAGTATAGCTATTCCAGATGAGTTTACTGAACAAGAAAGGAAGTCTGGAGACTGGTGGAAACGTCTGGTGGCAGTCTGGACGCTGGTGGCAACGTCTGGGGGAAGCAGGAATAGCTAGCGCGGTTGCACGGACATGCACAGCACCTTTAGACCGTCTGAAAGTCATGATGCAGGTGATGTTTACACTGTACCTACCCCTTAATAGTTAAAGTAATTTAAATAATCCTTGATAATTTTCAGGAGAAATATTTTTAATGTTTTGGTACATTTTATAGTACTTTTCATTATTTTGTACTTTTCCAAACATGTTAATTCTTTTATGCTCTCATACTATTCAAATTAATTTTAATTTGAAGTAATAATAGAACCACATTAGGAGTTCTGTCAGAAATAAAACTAAACCAATGAAAGATGGGATAAGATACCACTAGTTTATTTATAATCTCTAACCTTGGACACCGACATAATAGCATGGTTCTACTCTATTAAGTACTAACAATATTCTAAGAATTAGAAGGAAATTAAGGAGAAAAAATAGAGAGGTAAGATATTGGTGGGGGCACAGAAATGGTCTATTACCCATTGATGATAATGTGTATAGTATTCTCAACTGCACTGGTCTGAGGTATATTTCACATTGGGTAAATTCTCTTTACAAGCTAAATGATGTATAGCAATTGAATGTATAAAAATAACAATAAAAATTAAAAAAGAAAAGAAACAACTTAGAATATATTATATATTATCATGTGTTACCTAATTACATTTATTTACTGGATTGTCAATAGTAGTTATGAAATAGTACATCACTTAATCTGTATCATAATAAAATCTATAAATAAAATCTAATATTGTATTTGACATATGTTCTCTGCAAGAATGCAAAATTAATAATCTACTATCTAGTGAATTTAAATTTTGTAATTATAATTAAATGTCTGGAACTAGCCTGTAGCATGGTGGTTAAGGTGACTGATGGCATGTGGACAACTGTAGTTCAATTCCTGGACCTGGTGGCTTAAAAAATGTGCCAGGTGGATTTGCATTCATGCCCAAAATCCTGAAAGGAGGATGAAATGGAGGTGAAGGAATTGTGGCATGACTGTGCTCCATGGTGTGTGCTTTTTTGTTCTTTCTTTCTCTGTCCCTCTCTGGCAAATGCATGCACCTTCTGGCCACATAGCCAACCATGATTCGAGTTCCAGACCTGGTGACTTAAAACTCATGCTGGGCATGTATGCACACATGCCCAAAAGCCTAGGAGGAGAATGGAGGAGAAGAAATGGTGGCGTGGTCATCCCCTGCAGTGAGCTGATTTCTCACTTTTTGTCTCTTTGTCACTCTCTGTCTCTCCCTGCATTGCAAAAATCTCTCAAAAACATTACATATATGAACATTTTGTTATTTTTTTTGTAGCATGAAATAACAATTTTGGAGGCTAGAAATCCCAAATTAAGGTGTCAGCAGGGTTGATTCCTTCTAGGGCTGTGAAGGAGAATCTTTTCCAGGTTTCTGTTTCTGTCTTTTCTTTATGTCTTCTCACATTGCCCTCCCTGTGTGTGCATCATGTCTGTGTCTAAATTCCTCCTTTTAATAAGAATGCCGGTCAGATTAGCACCTCACTTTAACTTGGTTACCCTATAAAGACCCCCCTCTCTAACTAAGGTCATGTTTTGAGGAAATGAGGGTCAAGATTTTAACACATGAATCTTGAGGGACACAATTCAATCCATAACACGTCACTACCCAGGAGTATTCAATGTGGAAAGTGTGATCTGTTCTTCAGTGTGTATTTCAAGGCACTTTTTTATAATGTCATAATATTTTGGTGGTAACAATACATCTTGTTTATGTTGAAATTCTCTGATAATTAAGTTCTTTCTGTTTTCTTTAAGTTTTTCTTCTTTTCCTTGATGATTAATTAAAATGTGTACTGGGGACGGGAAAAATTAATATAGCAATATTTTATGTCTCTGAAGGAAAAATTACAATGATGTTGAAAATCTTGAATTTACAAAAACATATATAATTATTTTATTAGCAGTAGCAATACCATATTGCCAGTAAAATAAGTTGAAAAATAAATTTGCTGTTCACTTCTAGGTTCATAGTTTAGAGTCAAGGAGAATGAGATTGACTAGTGGGTTTCAGCAGATGGTAAAAGAAGGAGGAATTCTCTCTCTTTGGAGGGGAAATGGTGTAAATGTTTTTAAAATTGCACCAGAGACAGCACTCAAGGTCGGGGCCTATGAACAGGTAAAATGTCATTGTGGAATTTTAAAGATCAGATTTTAAATTTAATTAAAACTATTTTTTGATATTTATGAAGAAGAAAACTCAAGTGTGAACAAGCAATAGTTGATGTAAATATTAGTGACTTCATTTATTCTCGTTTAATTATTTTTATGTTTTCATATTGCTGTGGTATGCAAGAGAAGTTCCACAAATTGCACCATATTATCAGAACTGATCTCTACTAATGGTTCTTTTCATTTCAGTGTCACAGTGTAGGAAGCCTTTACAGAACATTTTATAATTGGTTTTTCCTTTGAACAATTTGAATATTTTATGGAAATTTCAGGTCATTTGTTAAGAGTGGAGGATTAATCTCTTAATTTGGTTAAGTGATGAGCAGTTGAAAGATATGCACTGAATTTTAAAATTTGTTAATCTGATTTAAGATTTAAATAATTCACTTTGAGATGAGATATGTCTGTTTTCAAATATTATAAATTATTAGTGTTACATAAAAGTTTAAGCGTGCATGCTTCTCTGGGACCAGCAGTTGGTGTAATGGCTATGTTGCTGGACTCGCATGTAGTCGACCACTGGCCCCCAGCTGCATGTTCTGATGGGGAGTAACTGACTTGAGACCCAGAGAGTTACATTATGAAGACTAGCAGAAGCACACTGATGACAGACCACTAGAGAAGACAAACAGGAACTCATCCTGCCAGGAAGTGATAAGGGGACATGCGTGCTGGAGCTGTCTTGGATTGTAAATGCCTTTCCAGTCATCCATCGTCTCTATCAAATGCTATTTACTTCAGTTCCTGTGAAGTCTGACCTTTAGGTTTAGATTTCCATTATCATTTTTTCTGCATATTCTTATAATGACCTGTTACTTGAGTTAACCAAAGTAAACTGTTTTTTGAAACAGAAAGAACTTCTCACATTAGATTACTATTCCTGATTATCCAATAACCAAACAATATTAAATGCTTCCATACTCTGCAGAACAAAAAAAGGAGACTGAATAGTGGGGCTTTATTTACTATTTTAGATAACTAATTGCATAAAAATTAAAATTTGGTATTCTCGGTTGTACTAAGAACAGTACAACAGTATATACTGTATATACAGTATCTGGTATACTTTTTAATATAATTTTATACTACTAATGAACATTATAAATGTTCTATATTCCATTTCAGTAATGTTAAAATTTCAATAATTTTATTTATACAGTATAAGAAATGGCTTAGTTTTGATGGTGCTAATATAGGAATTCTTGAAAGATTTATATCTGGATCATTGGCTGGTGCAACTGCCCAGACCTGTATTTACCCCATGGAGGTAGGTATTATTATAACATTTAACTAAAGTTATGCTGTTAATCGAAATTACAACTTTTTAAAAATGAATCCCATATCACTATTTTGTATAATAGACAGCTTTATAATGGTAGAATTTAAATCTTACATCAAGTGTCAGTTGGCCTCTGAAGGTTTTTGTTTGTTAGGACAAAGGTAGTGTATTGGTGATGGACCAAGAATATAAGCCATTTTGTTGAATGATTGATTGATTCATAGGTTTACTCATTTATTCATTATACAACTTTCTATACCTATTAAGTTTAAGGTATTTTTCTTGGTAATACTCAGGATCCAGGAAAGAGTCGGACAGGAATTTTAGTCATGTAGCTTATAGTCTAGAAGGAATGATTATCTGAAATGGAAAATACAAATTCTAGGACAGAGATCAACATAAAATATTACGGAGATTGGAGGGGGAGATATTATTTCTAGTTAGGGATTTCATGAACGATATGAATAGAATGTGTGAGCTTGACTTCAAGTTTGGACACACAGGGTTAATGAGGAAGGGCATTGAGGTAGAAATAACAGCTTGAGCAAAGTGAAAAAAAAGTAAGTACTTAGGTTTGAAATGGACATAGCAAAGGTTGGGGTCCAATCAGAAAGGCTTTTGTATGTAGCTAAAGGAATTTAATTTTGATTCCTTAAGAAACAAGAAACCATTAAGACTTTGGAGCCTGAAATGAGATCATAGCAACATGCTCCCCCCACCCCACCCCCCCAAAGTGGGAGAGATTAGAAAGCTAAGACTACATACACGATATTCAGGGAAGATACCATAAGAGCTTGACCGGTGGATAGGACTGGGGAAACTGATTTGTGTTAGCTAGCTATTGTCTTGAAAATGGAGAACTTGAAAAGTGGAAAGCAGGGGAAGGCAAAGCTCTGTCTGAGTTCTTGGCCCGAGTACTTAGGAGAGGTGCACAGAGCTACCTTTCTAACAGAGGTGGAGAATGGAGCACGAGCCAGTCCCTAAGAAATGAGGAGCTTAGGTTTGCACACATTTAATTCCAGCCATTGGTGGGACAACCAAGTGATGATTTTCCAGCAGGCAGTTGTAAAGGTGATACTAAGATTTGAGATTTCAAGACTTGGTATGTCACCCACAAGGGATGTTATATGAATTTATGAGATTGCCTAAGAAAAAAGACTTTTGAAAAAAATATTGGGGTTAGGTGGTGGTGCCATGGTGATATGACTGGACCCACATAAGAAAGGACCCGGGGTTCATGTCCTTGCACATGCTGAGCACACATGTGCAAGCCCGTGATGAGACTGGGTGGACTGTGACATGACAACTGTCAGTGATCCCTCACCACTGTCTCTCATGGAAGAAATAAATAACTTTAGAAATGTTGAGAAGAAAACTTTGGAAAATAATTTAGAGAATAAGAAAAAAATAACATGCTAGTGAAGCAGACAGACAAAATTTATTGTACTTGGGTAATAGGAGTGGGTGCTGCCCTGGAGACGACAGGGAGGTTTAAGAATGGGATTGTCAGGGCTAGCTGGTGGTGTGGTGGTTAATGCCTATATCCCACATGGCCGACTGTTAGCTGGTGGTGTGGTGGTTAATGCCTATATCCCTCACGGCCAACATTTCTTATGGCTTGAAAAACATGCTGGGTGTGTGTGAGCACATGCCCAAAATCCCAAGAGAAGAATGAAGAAGGAATTAGTGCATAGCCATTTCCCCTGAGAGGTACTTTCTCACTTTCCCTCTTTCTGTCTCTCTCCCATGATTGTACACACCCTATAGCAAAATAAAAAAACTAATGACATTAAAAACAAGAATGGTATTGTCAAAATGTCTGGTCCTGCAGAGAAGTCCATAAGACAGAAGACTTCTGCTGACTACTCATAGGTAGTGCCATCAAGATGCAGTTAGCCCAATCAAAGAAAGTTTGTGTATACTTTTTGTCTTAGATGTTTTAGAGAACCATTTTTTCAAGTGTTTATAGAGCTTCATTAAATTAAATCAATGGAAATTAAGAGAACATGGATTGAGACTCTTTTAGGAGAATTATATGAGGCCTAGGAATATTGATTAAGTATAGACCACTGAGGTTCTTAGAGCTTCTGTGATAGCTTAAGACCACAAAGTGAGTCCAAGTCATGTGAAATTACAACTTCAGGCCTCAGTGTTACAGTATTCAAGAGAGGATGAATTTTAAGCATATATAAAATATTTTTTCTCATATTGGCTCTATTACCCATCCATATCACTTTTTTTTTTTTTTCTGCAGGGCATATGCACTTTCCAGAGGGAGATAAAAAGTAAGAAATCATCTCCCAGGGAGATGGCCATGCCCCAATCCCTTCTCCATTCTTCTCTCAGGATTTTGGGCACATACGCATGCATGCCTGGCATGTTTTTCAAGCTTCCAGGTCCAGGACTCAAACTGCAGACTCGACCACGTGGAATCCCACTGCCTTTGCCATGCCATGGGCTGGTTCCTAAAATTACTTTTTAAAATTTACACTTTAATTTTATTTGCTTTATTTTGAAGTGGTAATGCTATTTCAAATCAGAACATGTTACTTTATAACACATTAAAGGAATTTGGATGTATCCAACAAAGTCAGAGATTAATGTTATTTTTATGTTCGAATAATTAAAAAAAAAGCTTCCATCCACACCAGTTATTCATAATTAAGAGTCAGTTCTTGAGAGTTATAATTATGTTTATGATTGCTTTCTCTTTTTATTTCTATGTTAATCTGTAGATATTGTGATATAATGTAGGTCATTGGATGGTTCGATGAGTTGGGTGAAGTTGGTCCATGTCTTTGTTACATCTTTTCACATGTAGGTAATAAAGACTAGACTGGCCGTAGCTAAAACTGGAGAGTATTCAGGGATTATTGATTGTGGCAAGAAGCTCCTGAAACAAGAAGGTTTCAAAACCTTTTTAAGAGGTTACGTTCCTAACTTGCTAGGCATCGTACCTTACGCAGGTTTAGATCTTACTGTTTATGAGGTGAGTTTTTTTCATGATGTGCCATTATATGTTAGATTTGAAAATATGGCCCAATAGTTTTATTTTATTCTAAGAATATGGTTATAAATGACATTTTATGAAATAGCTTCTGACCAAGAGTGAATTGAATGGTTTTATTTATTTTAATTTCGTTAGATATCTGGTATTCTAATAATATTTTTTTATTTGTGAATTCATTTTTGGTAGTAATAATTATATACCTAAATTTTGATAAAATAGTGATTCACAACCCTGGATGCATGTCAGAATCATCTACATGTAAATGGTAAAAAATGCAGAATTTTGGGATTCATCACAAGATGTATCGTTTTAATTGCCAGAGGATATGTATACTTGCCAGAAAGAGACAAAGAGAGAAAAACAGACAAACAAACAAACAAACAAAACCATAATGGGACAATGGGATGTGGTCCCTCCTCCTCCATTTCTCCATACTGTCAGGATTTGGGGCTCCTATTCACATGTGCCTGGCATATTTTCCATATTGCTGCTGCTGGGATTTGTGGTCAGCCACATGGGATTCCAGCTTCTTTAACTAGGCTATTGGGTTAACCTACTGAGATATTCAGATGTAATTATTCCCAGGGAGAGGTCTGGAATTGAGAATTTTTAACTACGCAGAAGAATGTGATTGTACAGGTAAGATTGAGTAAACTGAATTTCACACAGTTCTGAAATGAGAATTGATGAGAGATGTCCTTAGAGGCTGGGAAAGAGAATCAGTGTTGAGACGGGGCAGAATAATGGAGAGTGTAGTGCCCATCAGGCAGGATCGCAGGTCTCTCCTCTCCAAGCCAGTTATTTCTTTTTTATGACTACATCTGCTTCAAGAAGGCCATCTTAACAATACACACCATTCAGTAGCAGGAACCAGGTGAGACGTGTGGTTCAATTCATTCTTAATATAGGAAGGACAGCTCTCCAAACACAGGCCCAGTGGCGTTGTCCAGGAAGTAGTAGAGCCACCATGTGGAAGATAATTTTACTTAAAAACATACTTTGATATCTTTGTAGATATTTAAGGTTATGAGCATTATAACATGTATTTCTTTTTGTTTTCTTGCTTCTGTGATCTTACTAAAATAGATTTGTTTCTGATGTTTAGGTTGGGCTCTCTGCATTCTCTATTCTTTTATTTCTATAGTTCAGTACCTTTTGTTTTCAAAATGTACCATTAAACATTTCTCTTCATTGCTATACAGCTGTCACAGTGAACGAAGACATACTGAAATTTCCTTTTTTTTAGGACTATTTTTCCTTTTGAAGTTTATTTATTTTTGTGAGCTACAGTGTGTTTTTTAAAAATTTATTTTATAATTTCTTATTTACATTTAATTGTTGTACATCTTCATTGGACATAGCATGGATTTTCAAAGTGTGCATGCAGTGAAATTTATTTTTTAAAAGCAATAAATTATACATTTATAGTAATTGTTCCAGTTCATAATGGTAAAGTTGCTATCCTTTAATAAATGAACAATTCTAAGCACTTAGTGATGTTTTACGTACACTACTTCTAAATAATTTCTTCCAGCTACTTTTATTCAAGGAAAAGCAAATTTGGAAAGATGAGTCTTTTTTTAGAAGTTGAGAAAACCTGATTTTGTTAACCTGAAGTGGATTATTCCATCTTTTTCTCTACAATATTCTGTTAATCTCTGTGAGAACCTCCAGAATTTTGCACAGGTCTTTGAATATTGTTACAAACAAACAAAGCCAAACAAACAAACAAAAATGAGCAAAACTAGCAAACAAAAACTAAAATAAACAAAACACCACAGAGACACACATGTGAGAACTCAAACAAAGGTATTCGAAAACATCTGTGTACTCTGAGGTGACCAGTAAGGGCAGCCACTCTGTATAAAAGACTCACTCTACTTAGATTTTCATAGTAGTTAAGGGGTATTTACTACTCTCTTCTTTGCCAGCTTTTGAAGAATTATTGGCTAGAACATTATGCAGGAAACTCCATGAATCCTGGGGTGATGATTTTACTGGGATGCAGTACTTTGTCTCACACTTGTGGTCAGTTAGCCAGCTTCCCTTTGACCGTTCTTAGGACTCGCATGCAGACTGAACGTAAGTTTTGTTTTCTTTTTTTTTTTTTTTTTTTTTTTTTTTTTGGCTTTTTTTTTTTTTTTGGTGCTACATTTACTTTGCAATACGAATAGGACCAAGGTGATCAGAGCAAAAGAAAACCTTAGTATACTTAAAATGCATATGACCATTATGTCAAGAAATTGCACAAAAATATAAGAGAAGATTTAGCAACAGTTGATGAAGGATCTCCTTTGTATTCTTTTTTTAATTTTTTTTTACTTTTATTCTTTTTTTCCATTTCATTTTCTTCCATACATTCAATCACATTATTATTTGTCTTACAAAATGGATATTTAAACAGGTGAACATTTCTCCCTAGTACTGT